CGGGGGAGGAGGGAGGCCCTTCTTCCCCCACCTTGCACCGACCCAGCCGTGTGCCTGGCCGTCCTCGCGGCCCCCCGGGACAGACGTGGGACGCGGCCGGAGGGCCCTCCAGCCTTCAGGGGAGGCGGGCGCTAGCTACAGACGTGCAGTCGGGGGGTGCCTGGGGACTCCGCTGCGGGAAAGCAGGGCCTGAGCCCCCGGGAATTCACCGGGTAATGGGATGGAGGGGCGGGGATCGCTCAGCCCGGCGTAGCGGAGGCACGGCGTGCAGCAGCGCCCGCTCACGCAGAGGGCGAAGGGGCACGGCAAGGACCTTGACCAGTTACAGAGCAATTATTTATGCATTTGAGAGAATTATTTATGCATTGCGAGAGAAGTAGCTTCTTCTGCTGCTTCACTCCACAGTAGCCTGGCTGGGCCCGAGCCGGGGTCCCACCCTCCAGGCTCCCAGGTCGGGGGCAGGTGCCCCTGTACTGTCCCAGGTGCATCAGTGGGGGAGCTGGATAGGAAGCGAAGCCCACCCCGGCGGGGGGGTCCTGGCAGGAAGCTGAGCAGGGGTGTGGGAGCTCCCTGTGGCTGGCGGTGAGGTTGGGAAGGGGGCCAGGGAGGAGGCTGGCACAGCCAGGTGAGACACAGCCAAGTTCACAGTGAAACTGAGGATGGCGGGGGCGGGGGCAGGAAATATCGAGTCTTAAAAGAGAATTTGGAAATAAAAATAAAAGATGACTTTCACAAAGCGAACACACGGGCGAGATTTTATTTATCTCAGTAAGGAACAAAGCAGCAAGAGGAATGCAGAAATGCCTTCGCAACCCGTCTGGCCAGAGGGCCACAGTCCATCACTCCTGACCACCGACTTGCATTTCTCTGAACGAGGATTATTTAGAGATTTGCTTTACTGGGACCGGCGTGTGGCCGAGCTGTTAAGCTACCACCTGCGATGCTGGCATCCCGTGTGGGCGCCAGCTGGAGTCCCGGCTGCTCCACTTCTGATCCAGTGTCCTGCTAATGGCCTGGGGGAGCCGCAGCAGGTGGCCCGAGGGCTTGGGCCCCTGCACCCACGTGGGAGGCCAGGATGAGGCTCCTGGTTCCTGGCAATGACCGGCCCCAGCCCTGGCGGTCTGGTCGCAGCTGTTGGGAGAGTGAACCAGCGGAGGGGAGTGCCCGTGCTCTCTCCCTTTGAAATAAACAAGAGTATGTGGGAGTGTTTCCAGCAGGACCCCCAACACAGCCCCCAGGACCTCAGGATTCGCCCATGTCTGCAGATGGGACTGAGCTGAAAGTAGGTCACTGTGCTGGGCCCTGATCCACTGGGACCCCTGCCACCCCTGGACCCGGGACACAGGCAGGGGCCGCGGAGCCATGTAGCGGCAGCCGGCAGAGACCCAGGCCTCCCTCGGTGACGGCGTCCCCACATCCACAGACGCGGTCATCCCTCCAGCCTCCGATCCATAAAGTGGTGCAGAAATGGCACTTGGGGCCTTGCCCGCGGCCAAGAAGCTGTGAAGCGGCCCAGACGGGCCTCCTGGAGGTGCCGAAGCCGCGGGAAAGAGTGCTGAGGAATCGCCCGCCGGCGATGCCAGCCGCCAGCCGCCTCCGGCCCCAGCTGGTGACTACAGTCACGGCACGATGCCAGCAAAGACCAGCAGACCCCAAGAAATCCCAGTGACGGTGTCGACCCGCTGGGCCAGGACAAACAACGTGTTCTCTACTGAACCTTGGGGTGGAATTAGGAAAACAGCCAATGGCGAGGAAAACCTAGAGAAAAACTCCAAGACGATGTAGGAGTGTCTTTCATGCATGAGAATGTTCCCCTGGGGCTGCTGTGTGGCGCAGCAGGTAAAGCCACCGCCTGCAGTGCTGGCATCCCAGCTGGGTGCCGGTTCGAGTCCCGGCTGCTCCATTTCTGATCCAGCTCCCTGCAAATGTTCCTGGGAAAGCAGCAGAAGATGGCCCAAGTCTTTGGGCCCCTGCACTCGCGTGGGAGTGGCTTCAGATTGGCCCGGCTCCAGACACTGCAGCCATTTGGGGAGTGAACTCTCCTATCCAACTCTGCCTTTCAAATAAATAATCTTAAAAAAAAAAAAAAAAGTTCCCGTCCTGCATCAGTGTGTGATGCATCACCCCAAAGTGGAGCAAAGCAGCTGCCAGTGTGTCTTATCTATGTCCATCTACCTGGAAGGCAGAACGAGAGGAAAATCTTCCATCTGCTCCTTCACTCCCCTAACATCCATGACGGCCAGAGTTAGACCAGGCTGACGCCAGGGGCCAGCAACTCTACCCTGTCCTCCCTGTTTGGAGAGAAGGGGCCCGGGCACTTGAGCCATCAGCTGCTGCCTCTCAGGACGCATTATCAGGACGCTGGATCAGAAGCAGAGCAGCCAGGACTTGACCCGGCCCTTTGATGCAGGAGTCGCAAGCAGTGGCTTAGCTTGCTGGGCCACACGTCCTCCCCAGTGACCACTAACACGCTCCCGGGCAGTGCACTCCGGGGACGGCTCACCTCTGCCCCCGCTGGAGCCGGCTCTCGTGACTGGCCACGGCTGGGAAGAACTGACTCGGGCCGTGCGTCCAGGGCCTCGAGTTTCTCCTCTCCTCTCCCCATCGGGCCTGTGGGGACTGGCGTTTCCAAGTCGGTTGCTTCACCTACCCGTCTGGCACCCAGGGTGGGACGGCAGGAGGCCCTCCCTCCCAGCATGCTGGTCTCGGGGCGCTGCCACCTCCGACTTCCTGGCTTATTTCTTCCAGGCCAGGAGATCCACGGAGCCCAGGGGGAAGCTGCAAGACCGCGTGGCCCAACGTCAGAGGTTCAAGTTCACGGACAAAACGGAATTAAGAGGCGAGCTGGAGCTGGCGTTGTGGCACCGCCTGGCACAGCTGCCTCCCGTATCCACCAGCCTGGTTTAGTCCCGCCATCCTGTCAAAGACCAAGTGCCAGACTCTTGGGTCCAGCCTGGCCCGGGCTGGCTGTTGCAGGCATTTGGAGAGCGGAGATTTATGCCTTTCAAGTAAACACAAAAATAAAAACAAGCGAAAGAAACTACGCTGTTGGAGAACTGGGGACTGAAGCCCCTGCCGACCTGCAGGCTTTCCAACCCCACGATCCCTAAGTGGCGCCCTTTCACCGTCTTCTCGAGGCGAGAACTGTGGCCGTGGCCGTCACGGTCCCTCACCGAGAACCAGGAGCTGGGTTCTGTCAGCTTCTCCGAAGGTGAGGAGCGAGACCAGGTGAGCACAGCCCCCCCAGGAACCAGGCCACAGCAGCTGCTGCCCGGGAGCCCCGTGGGAAGAGGGCATCACCTAACAGGGCCGCTGCCTTGGTGTCGCCAGCAGGCCCGGGTGGGGAGCAGCCTCGGTCCGATCCCTAGCAGGCAGCAGGTGCGTGCAGTGACTGTGAGGACACCCGAGGCCCCGGGCCGGGGCCGCACAGGGAAGCCTGGCCCTGTTGGTGTGAGACGCAGCCCGCACAGCCAGGACTGGCCCAGCACCTCTCCTGGTTGCTTTCTTGGCTTGTTTCAACTGACTTTAAAAAGAAAATGCACAGAAGTACTGAGGAATTAATGAAATGTTTGATAACACACAACTTATGAATCAGTGATCAACTGCCCTTGCTTCTGTTTCTCCTGAGGCTTTAACCTACGCAAGGCCTGTCTGGCTCTGTTCAGCTCTGGGAAAAGCTGGAGGGCGTGTTAATATCATGTATCTCATTTTTAAAGATTCATTTGGGCGTCTCCTGCTGCCTTCCCAGGCGCGTCGGCAGGGGGCTGGCAGGGAGGGCCACCTGGAACTAACACAGGTGTCTGAAGCAGCACGCGGCAGCGTGACCCACGCGCCCCACCGTCTTAGACCTCACAGTTAACCCCGGTCCAGGAGGCACGGCGGCTGCCCCCAAGCTAAGCCAGCGCACAGGCTCCACGGAGAAAAGCAGGAATTCCCTGGCAGCCGTTCTGATGGAAACAAGCTGCAATGTGTTCACCCGCAATGAAACCAAGTCATGCGGAAGCGTCTGCCGCCCACAGCGAGGCACGCGGCAGGAAGACAGAAAACGAGACGAAAGTGGCGGTGGCCACCCAGACCCTGCCGGGGGCTCTGGGCATCCCCAGGCCTGAGGGCCGCACCCTTCCCTTGTCCTAGAACTGTCAGCCACCCTCAGAACCACTGCCCGACTTTCTTCCCAGGAATGTACCTCCAGCCCTGCAGCTGGGGTGGGCCCCCGACTCAGGACTTGGTTTGGGCGACCAGACACCCAGGCTTCCTGCTCCCCCATGGACGGCTGCGGGGGCCACTCCCGAGTGGCCGGCTGAGAAAGCGTGGCTGGGACATGCCCCCACACACTCCTGGGCTCCTCTTCAGGCCAGTGCCACACAGAGACTCGCCCTGAGCCCACCCATTTCTGTTCTTGGGTCGGGCCGACCACCCGTCTCCCGGGGTACTGGTGAGATGGGGTCTCTGGACCTCCAGAGCAGAGGGCGGGAGCTGCCTGGTGGTCCCCGGATGGAGTCCTTATCCTGCGTGTCCGTCTTCCAGCGTCTTTACTGCGCGCATTGACTGATCAGTGAAGTGAGACTCGCCCCCCGGGGGATAAAGCAGCCGCGCGCTCGCCACTCAGGCTGCTGTCTTTATTGGCAGTGGAAATGCTTCAGTACTTTATTGAAAGAAAGCAATAAATACTGTGATAAAAACAGTTCAAAAGTAGACTGTACAGACTCTGTCACGGAATCGGGGAGGTCACAAGGATCCAGAGATCACAACAGGCACCAGGAGCTCGCAAGTGGGTTCAAAGCGGAGGCCAACGCCGAAGGACGCGCGTCTGCGCACCGGCCGCGGGACGCACCACGGGCCTGACCTGATGCGCTTCTCGCTGGCCTAACAACACGCCATTTAGAAGTAAAAGCCACATCTGCTACTTCTGCAGTCCAAAATGGCTGTAGCATCAGAATCTAAAAAGGTACGACTAGGTCCACTCTTTCCGCATGTTTACAAACAAACGTGGAAGCTGATTTGCGTAAGAACGGTAAGGCCTTTATTAGATTGCACCACATGTGTCCGAGATGAGAGCACACTGCGTGGTGATTGGTCCTCGGTGAGCAGCTGTGTGGGCGGCTCCCACCGCCCCCCACCCCTGCTCCTGGCTCATGAGTGTGGCTCCCGGCTCAGGGCTGGAAGGGTCCCCGGTGCGGAGAGCTCTCCGCAGCGCTCTGCAGGCCCTTCCAGCCCCGACTTTTAGAAGCTGACACTGAACACCAGAGATTTTAAATCTGCTCAGGCTGCAGAATAAAGCATTGCTTGCTAGAAAAAAAGTACAGTTAAGGTCAGTCTTTAAAATATGACAATAATCGCTGGACATTAAATCTGCTTGTTTCCAAATGATTGTTGTAGAGCGAGGTAAAGGACGCACACTGCTCTGTCGTGACTTTACAGACGTAGTAAAATCCCCTTCTCTGTCGTGGTTTCTCATCCCCAGATCAAACAGTGATAATTACAATAATGCATAATTTACAAAAGCCCTATATTTGTTCATAGGATTTATACATACAAGCATTACAGTACATTCATTTCAAAGACCAACATTAGGTATAAGAACATGAATTGATTTCACAGGATATTTATAGCCTGGATATACATGAAAAAGGGAACTATATAAATGAAGGCCATAAGTTTACATAAATATAAGAAACATTAAATTCTAAAATATTTTCTCTATGGTATTCATGAATTTTTCACTAATTAAAAACTCTGTAATAAAATATCTCAGGGTCCATGTAACAAGTATCAACAGGTTAAAGATTCCACGGGAGTCCAAGGCGGCGCGTCTGCTGGGTCCCCAGCGCTGCAGAATCATCTGTAGAAGTAGTGCGGGTACACTGGGGACAGAAGCAGGGGCAGCCTCAGCGCAGGTGTGCGGGAGAGGCGGTGCCTCCTCGCAGGCGCCCCGCCCACCCCGCCCTCCCCCCGCCCTGCTTTGCCAACCGCAGGCAGAACATCACGGAGGCTGCCGCCTGGTGAGAATACTTCGTCTGACCGCATCTGGACCGATGCGTAGAAAAGTCACCACTAAAACAGAGGTAATGAACCCACCGAAGGGTCTCAGCTGAGAACCGGGAACCGAGCGGAGCAGACCCAGCTGCAGGTTCCGCCCCCGCCCCGCCCGGCCAGCAGGGGAGGCAGTGCCGCCCACTGGGTCACCAGAGCCTGGGGCAGCAGCGCGGCCTGGCCGCTACACGCCGCCCTCTGCAGCAGCTGGTTAGTGCCCAGGGTCCTGGAGCCTCATGACGTGAGGCACGACTGGACACAGAACCTGGGGGCGCGGGGCGCGTGGTGGGGGCGGGAGCTGCTAACAAAGCAGCCCAGGGCCCCGCACGTGCACGAGGACACCAGGGTCGGTGCCTGGGCACAAGCCGCCCCCGGCTGCCGCCTCCGCTGTGCTGCGCTCAGTCCCCGCCAGTGCTGCAGCAGACCCTTAAAGTGGGCAGCATTTTCAGGTTTAAGGAAAGAGTGGAAATACATGTTTCTCCTTAAAAAATGAGGACACACCAGCAATCTCCCTATGATCCACTCTAACACCAAGATTATCTCAATGGGCGCAGAGAGCTAGTGACTCTCCCCAGTCAACGGAGGCTGCCCGTCACGGCGGGGCCAGAACCCCGAGCGGCCCTGTGGCGGTGCCCGCGTGCCCACGGCCGCCCCTGTGCCCAGTGCAGGGCCGCGCTGCTCCCCACTCACCACAGGAGGCTTCAGCAGGAGTAAGTCCTGACTGCGGCCGAGTCCAGCCTCTGCGCTCCCGATGAGCTGCCTGCCGACCCACAGGAGGAAGCGGGAAGCGTGCAACACAGCGTGCAGTTAGTCTCACACAAGCACACACACGTTTCCACACCATCAGGCACCTGCTGAGGGACCTGGGAGACCCTGGAGCTCAACTCCAAAACACAAGTGAAGTCTCGAGGGAGAGAGAACCGCTGTTGAGGGGCCAGCGCTGTGGCACAGAAGGTAAAGCCACGGCCTGCAGCACCAGCATCCCACATGGGCGCCGGTTCAAGCCCGGCTGCTCCACTTCCAATTCCAGCTCCCGCTGTGGCCTGGGAAAGCCGCAGAAAATGGCCCACGTGCTTGGGCCCCTGCTCCCACGTGGGAGACCCAGAGGAAGCTCCTGACTCCTGGTTTTGGCAGGGCACAGCCCCAGGAAGTGCAGCCAACAGGGGAGAGACCAGCAATGGAAGATTTGTCTTTCTCTCTCTGTAACTCTGCCTTTCAAATAAAGAAAGAAAGAAAAACACTTCTGAATGCACATTTGCATAAATGACAACTACCTAAAGTGACCACTTTCTTTCTCTGATGGTCACGCAGGGCAGAGGTGGCCTGGGCCCCGGCCCAGCTGGAAACCTCCCTGTGTGCACTCACGGCCCCGGGGGGCTGAGAGCAGGTGCGCAGGCTACAGACATGAAAACAGCCCAGTCGCGGGCTCTGCAGAACTCCGCAAGCCCCCTGCGCAGCCAGTCCCTAGGCCTGACCCTCACCAGCTGGCCAGGGAACTTTCAAGGGTCTGTGGCTCCCGGAGAACACTTTATCAGGATCCTGCCAGGGGCCCAGAAAGGACGCTAACACACGGGTGCCATGGCAACACCGGCAATCGTCTGCAATCCTTCTCGGTCTAGGAGCCCAGGAGACGCTGGAATTCACTTTACATCCTGTCACTTAAGAAGCTGCGAAATCATGCATTTACCAGGCTTACGCTTAGTTATCATCGAAGTGTAAAAAGCTGTCTTTTGCACAACACAGTCCCTGTACTTTCTCCTACATTTATTTCTAATGTATCTGAATGTCGCTGCAATGTCTTTTTGGTTTTTTTGGTTGTTTGTTTGTTTTGTTTTGACAGGCAGAGTGGACAGTGAGAGAGAGAGACAGAGAGAAAGGTCTTCCTTCCGTTGGTTCACCCCCAAAATGGCTGCTATGGCAGGAGCGCTGCGCCGATCCAAAGCCAGGAGCCAGGTGCTTCCTCCTGGTCTCCCATGGGGTGCAGGGCCCAAGCACCTGGGCCATCCTCCACTGCACTCCCTGGACACAGCAGAGAGCTGGACAGGAAGAGGGGCAACCAGGACAGAATCCGGCGCCCCAACCGGGACTAGAACCCGGTGTGCCGGCGCTGCAGGCGAAGGATTAGCCTAGTGAGCCGCGGCGCCGGCTGCTGCAATGTCTAACGGGGAGATGTAGTTTATGAAGAAAACAAATCGAAGCCACAGGGAAAATAACTCCATTCAGAAAACTCAGTGAGTCCACAGAGACAAAGTTAGAGGCCAAGTCAGAGTTCAGATTTATAAGAATTACGCGCAGGTCCCATTGGAGGGAAAATGCTACTTTCTAAAAAGTTGCTAATTAAAAGACACTAAGTAATTCCCCCTCTCCCAAGTATAGTATCCAACTGGGCAAAACAAAGCACACAAACCCTTTTTATTAAAAAGTAAGCCACCCTCACTTAAAAGTGCTCAGCTTAATAAGACTTTATATAAATGTACATTTCTCGGATTCCTACACAGGCTAGTGAGAGTGAAATTTACAAACCTACTTCAGGGAGGGGCTGACGACAGAAAAAACTCTAAAACCCCATGGGCACAGCTTTCCAGCGGGAGGGGCGCTGCCCCCCGGACAGTGGGGCTCCCTCAAGGGCCTGTGAGAGCCGACAGAGGGCCAGTTCCTGGACGGCTCATTTAATACTCAGACACCCTGAGAGGAAGACGCTCCTGTGAAGGCACTGTCCACGGCTCACTCGAGGCCACGCACCACTGGAGGCAGAGCCCGCCGCAAGCCCTGGCAGGCGGGCTCTCAGTCATGGAGCCAAGGCAGAGCAACTGTCAGCTCTCGCCTGTGCTGGGCCAAGTGCCCTGGGGGTGCTCTCGGGCCCGCTGGAGCCACCGCCAACTTCCCGAGGCTCACCCTCTGCCTCCCTGCCCTCGTGCACGCCACGGAACAGCAGAAAACCTCCTCACAGAAGCGGGAACTGCCCCTCTGCTTCAAATAAGCCAGCAAATTTCTTTTAAAGCAGGAAGTTGTGTGCTATTTAAAATGTACGCAGTCAGGCCGGCGCTGTGGTGTAGTGGGTTAGGTCGCCACCTGCAGCACTGGCATTCCACATGGGCATTGGTTCGAGTCCTGCTGCACCTGGGAAGGCAGTAGAAAATGGCCCAAGTGCTTGTGCCCCTGCACCCGCATTGGAGACTTGGAAAAGCTCCTGGCTCTGGTCAGGCCCAGCTCTGGCTGTTGCGGTCATTTGGGGAGTGAACAAGTGGATGGAAGCTCGCTCTCTCTCTCCCACTCTGTCTCCCCTCCCCGTAACTCTGTCTTTCAAATGAACAAATAAATTAGGGTGGAGAGAAGCCCTGGGTATGAACCATGTAAGTCACGTGGTGTGAGGCTGCCACGTTGCCACGGCACGAGGGAGCCGCCGGTGCTGCCCGGTGCACACCTGAGGACCTGAGCTCCTCACGCTGACCCAACAGACGGGAGTGGCCTGAGGGCCTCATCGCTACCTCTGCATAGCAAACGTTAGCGAGAACTTGGCGGCAGTTACATCAGAGCATGCACCACCCTCCCAGACGCAGGCGGCTGCGGACCACTCATGTCCCAGACACAAGACCGCGCAAGCTCCCGCCCAGAGGCGCCGAGCGAGGCCCCACGTACCGTCCATCTGCATCTTCTTGGGCTGCACAGAGGGTGAAGACATGGAGGAAGTCACACGGAAGTTTGCAGGCAGCGTCTCTGCTGACCCAGCAGCCAGGCCGCGAATGTCCTTTGGTCTAAACTTTTTCCTCCAGGAAGGCGCTCTCCTAAAGCTCTTGTCATCGTCCTGGAGATGAAAGAACAGGAAGTGAAATGCATATAAAAAGGAAGGACAGACAGTGCTGACTCAGGAACCTGTGCTTTCTCTGTGCCTGCACCCCCTTCCGCATGACCAGGTAGACTTCAGGGTCAAGGGCAGGGTCATGCTCCTGACTGGGCCGGCCCCAGGATCCTCCCGAGCACTCTGCTAACTTGTCGCCACGTTTCCTGTCTCGCCGCACAGAGAGCACGTTCCTGACAGAGCGCTGTGCTTGTCCTAAGAGTTGTCAAAACATAAACAAGTCTGTGTGATGCCAGCTTTCTCTGCAGACATGGGTTCTATATTCTCCTTGGCAAACCGGAGCCTCACTGAGTGCCGAGGAAGAATGGGAATAAGTGGGTGAAACAGGAAGAAACTCACGTTGTTCCGGGACACAGCAGCCCTGAGCCCGGGACACAGGACCCCAGCTGCCCCGAAACACAACACCCAGGCCCCAGCCCCAGACTGCAGCCAGTGTTTCCACTCTGAGGATCAGTCTAAAGAGGTGTGAACATTTAACGGCAAAAATGAAGAGAAAACTGTGTCATGAAAATGTTGGTTTCTTAATGGTTCTTTTGCTGTGAATTTGGGAGAGCGAAGCTAAACTCAAGTAAATTTATCTCCAGTTTGAGAAGAGACGGCCTTGCTACGTGGCTGCCCTGAGAGTAATAAAGGAAGTTACATCTTACACAAATTTCAAAAACATCAGACCAGAAACTTACTTCATCAAACCGCCGGTCAGTCCCCATGACCAGAAGGTTGTTAAATTCTCTTTCCAAGACAGCTCGGGCCTGAAATCACAGAGCAACCACCAGCAAAACTTACATCACTCCAACCCGACTGATGTCAGCACACCACAACTGCCTTTTAAACCACGACACTTAAAAAGCTTATTCACTGCCCATAATAGTACTTTTTTTCCAACATTTATTTATTTGAAAGTCAGAGTTACACAGAGAGAGAAGGAAAGGTTGGGGGAGGGTGTCTTCCATCCGCTGGTTCACTCCCCAACTGGCCACACTGGCTGGGGCGGCGCCAATCTGAAGCCAGGAGCCAGGAGTGTCTTCCGGGGCTCCCACATGGGTGCAGAGGCCCAAGGACCTGGACCATCTTCTACTGCTTTCCCAGACCACAGCAGAGGCGGGATAGAAGTGGAACAGCCGAGACTCGAACCGACGCCCAAATGGGATGCTGGCACTTTACCCGCTTTACCCACTACATAACAGTATTTTAAATCAGGCTTTAAAGTGTCCCGGTTTTCAAATGGGCCCCTAAGTCAAAGAGAGTTACACAGTCCCTTACTCCCAGAGCACAGTTAACAGAATCTCCATGTGGCACACCTGGAAATACTTTCTTTCACCTAAGAACTAAAGATTCCACGCTGACAAGCGCCTGGACCGGAAGGGAAGGTTCTCCTGATGTTGTCTACTGCAGGGTTCCAGGGCACAGCTGTGGAGCAATGGGTTAAGTGCAGCTGCACCACCAGCAGTCCTCGCAGGTTCGAGTCCCAGCTGCTCCACTTCACATCCACTCCCTGCTAATGCACCCGGGAAAAGCAGGGCAAGGGGGCCGACATGGTGGCACAGCAGGTGAAGCCGCTGCCTGCAGCGCTAGCATCCCATACGGGCGCCGGTTCAAGTCCCGGCTGCTGCACCTCCGATCCAGCTCCCTGCTGATGCGCCTGGGAAAGCAGTGGAAGGTGGTCCATGTAGCTGGGCCCCTGCCACCAGCTGAACCAGTGGATTCTCCCTCTCTGTTTGCAACTCTGCTTTCAAATAAATAAGTGTTTAAAAAAAAAAAAAAAAAAAAGAAGGATGTTCAGACTTATAAGCAAATGGAAACATGATAGAAACACACTGGAGATTTAGCCCTCGCTGATCACGGAGCAGCACATCTCAGACTAGCTGAGCACAGAGGACCAGCCTCTGGGCACTGTCTGAAGTCCGCCCTCCATCAACAACGGAGCACTCGCCCAGCCAGGCGGCGCGGCCGGGTGCCCACTCACCTGTGTATTCTGGGTCGGGATCTGCAGCAACAGGGCCAGCGCGCTGAAGTCGAAGGTCTCGTCCAGGGCCAGCAGCGCGCCGTGCACGCCGCTCTCGACAAGGTTGTTGGCGTACTCTTTCAGGCCGATGGACAGGATCCAGCGCATGACGCGGTCGTTGCTCCACACAAGCACGTCTGTAAACGGCAGTGGTGGCCACGCCCTTCAGAAAGCCGCCACCGCGTGCCCCCCAGGGCAGGGCCCCCAGTGCAGCCTCGCTCTCGGCCCTCCTAAGTGCTGCAGGCACTGCCACGGGGCGCCCGGGTGGGCACTGAGACGCGGCGCCCTGGCCCTGCTCCTTTCTAGGCACAGCCCACTCGCAAGTCCTCCGTGGGGACTGTGTCGCCTGCAGCAGGTTGAGCTGCTGCCTACCGGGCCAGCTCCCATACCAGAGTGCCAGGCTGAGTCCCCGCTGCTCTGCTTCCAATCCAGCTCCCTGCTAATGCACCTGCGAAGGCAGACGATGGCCCAGGCACGTGGGTCCCTGCCACCCACGTGGGAGATCCCAGTGGAGCTCCTGGGTCCTGGTTATGGCCTGACACAGCAGGTGGAAGCTGTGTGTGTGTGTGTGTGTGTGTGTGTGTCTCTCTTACTCTTTCAAATAAATAAGTAAATCTTAAAAAAAAAAAAAAAAAACACAGAAGCATTAGAAATTAGGGAGGAAAAAAGGAACTCCTCCTTCCAGTGAACAGTGGACAAAAGAACAACGACGCTCTCGTGCGAACGGTGTCTCCAGAGAACAGAAAACGGTGAGGGCGCAGGGCCCCTAACAAGGGGACTGTGAGGAACAGGACCCCCAGCGCACAGACTGGTGTCTCCTGAAGGCACCACTCCGGGGACACCTCCCATTACTGATTCCAAGCCTCTGTCGAGCCACTTACAAAGAGAGAAACCTGGAAACACACTCCAGCGTGTTAGAGACTGGGGGGAAGGGCTGATCTGATCTGATGCAAATTAACCAATTACAAAATCGGTTCTGTCAGCCATCTAAAAATAGCCGCTCTGTAAAAATACTTTCAGATGGCCGCCAGTCACTCTCAGGCAGCTTTCACCAACAGCAAATGAAACCAGCTCACACACTGCATTCCCAACATACACACATACGTGTGTGCGCGTGTGTGCGCGTGTGCATGCGTGTGTGTGAATGCAGACTCAAGGATTTCCATTATTCACGTCGACTCAATCATGACAAACCGCCCTGCCAGGGGATCCACCTTCCAGCCTCACACTGAAGACCAGGATGCCTGGCACCCTCCATCCCCGGCGTGAGTGCCCTGCCCCGACTCACTGAACGACGCTTGCTTCTCACCCCGCCTCAGACACTGAGAACCCTGTGACTCCACGTGAGCTCAGTGTCCAGGGGCGCTGGGTGGGCACCGCCTTCCTGACCCCTCCCCAGGGCCCACGCCCTCCGGGAGCACAGCCCCTGGCCCCCTTCAGTGCTCGAGGCCTTGGCCCCACCCCCACGCTGAGTTTCCCACGCAAGAATCGAGCGAGCAGACAGCAGGCACCTGCTCACCCACGCTCTGGGCACCCCTGGCAGAAGAGGACAGTGCCAGTCCCGAGACACCCCACCCACAGACCGAGGCCAGAGAGGAAGCGCCGGGGGCTGGGGTCCCCACACTATCTCCACCCTCACAGCCTGCCCCGATTCCTTCAACAGGAGCGCGCCGCGGCAGCCGGCACGGCACCACGCCCGCCGTACTAGCCTTTCACTTCGTGCTGGCTTTCCTCCCGCTTCCTCTCCAGCTCTTTGCGGTCGTAATTCAACCTTCGCAGGCACATGATTCCACACTGGAAGCTGTTCCTGCAGACAGAAGGAGAGAGGGCTACTCAGGACGGCCACAGACACGCCTCCCCGGCAATCAGTGAAACGCTTCCACCAAGCCACCTGTGAAAGCTGTCGACCATCTTCAGCTGCCCGCGGAGGTCCTTCTTGGTCAAGTGGTCCAGCATCCGGGCGTCCACGAGGCACTCCATGAAGTAGCTGCGGTACTGGGGAAGGCCCAGGCTGGGCAGCCACTCGTTGCCGATCCACTCGTGGTTCATGTCCCCGTACGCAAGCGTCTGCTTGTAAGGAACGAGCCGGGTCAGCGCCAGCCTGCCAGCCCGCACGCGGCCGCAGACGCTCAGCCGGCGAGAGCAGTGCCCTCTGTGGTTTCAGAACACGTGACTGAGCGCTACCTTTCCCAAGTCAGTAACACGTTACACAAGAGGAATCACGTCACGAGAATCTGATTCATCTGCAATACGTCTAACTTAACGAGCCGAAACTGTGACTGACCACAAGTTTCCTTTCTGAAATTATTTTTAATATGACAACAAAGCATGATCACGACTCATGAACAAGTTTGAAGGCTCAACTCTATTCATTCAAATAGCTGTGGCTGGTTTTAATTTTTAAAATGTACTTATTTGAAAGGCAGAGAGACACGGGGTGGGGGTGTTCCATCGGCTGGTTCCCTTCCCAGATGCCCCCCTGTGTGCATGGCCCAGGCTGGGCACAAAGCCACAGGGCAGGAACACAGCCCTGACCCCTAGATGGCTACCAGGAGCCCAGCTGCTTCTGCCATCGCTGCAGACTCCAGGGTGCGCACCGACAGGCGGCTGGAGTCGGGCAAGGGAGGCAGGTGTTGAACCCCGCCACTCTGGTGTTCTGACCCACCGGGCCAAATGCCAGCCCTAATTTTATTTTTAACACTTGCTTTTCTAAGCAAAACATCTGCTAATTTCAGAATCAGCAAGAGTGAACTAAGAATGTTTAAGAAGACACAAAGCAACAACCAATAAGGCTGGATGGGGAAACAGATCAATTCAGAATCAGAGGACGCCAACCTCCTGCCTCGTAACTGACAGAACAGCCAAGAAACAGGAGTCAGAAAGGACGCGGAGCCTGAAACAGCACCACCAGGGACCCCGACCGACAGCTCACCTGCACTCTGCCCAGCAGAATGCAGCCTGTTCAGGGGCACATGGACAGTCTCCAAGGCAGACACATCTTTTTTAAAATCATTTTTTAATTTATTCATTTTATTTGAAAGGCAGAGTTACAGAGAGAGAGAGAGACAGACAGAGAGAGGTCTTCCATCTGCTGGTTCACTCCCCAATTGGCCACAACAGCCAGAGTTGAGCCAATCCGAAGCCAGGAGCCAGGAGCTTCCTCCAGGTCTCCCACGCGGGTGCAGGGGCCCAAGGACTTGGCCATCCTCCACTGCTTTCTCAGGCAACAGCAGGGAGCTGGGTCAGAAGTGGAGCAGCCGGTACTCAACCCAGCACCCATATGGGATGCCGGCACTGCAGGCGGCACCTTTACACACTATACCACAGTGCCAGCCCCCAGACAAATTTTAAAATATTTAAAGACTGAAATCATACAAAGTTTTCTGGCTTCAACTAAATTAAAACAGAAATCAACAATGAAAACATATCTAGAACCCTCTCGAATACCTGGAAACTGACATCTGAGTGAACAGCCATGTGCCAAAGACGACATCACAAGGAAAACGAGAGATTTTAATCGAATGAAAGTTTAATTAAGTGAAAATTTAATTGAATTGAGTGTTTTAATGAATGAAAGTGAAAACATAATATATTCAAAAACTGTGAGAAACAGTTAACATAACAGCCCGAGAGACATTTATGGGACTAAAATTCTTATACAGTAAATGCAGAAAGGCCTCCAATAAAAATGTGAAATAAAGAAACAAAACCCACAGCACGGAGGGGCGGAGTGCAGCTCAGCAGGGTGAGGCAGGGCTGATGAACCTGGCGCCCCACACGGGTCCCCTTAGAATCCGGGCTGCTTGGCTTCCGTGCCGGCTCCCTGCTAATGTGCCTGAGAAGGCAACAGATGGGGGTCCAAACACTTGAGCCCTGCCACCCATGTGGGAAATCAGGATGCGTTCCTGGCTCCTGCTCTGGGCCTACCCCAGTCCTGGCCACTGTGGGCCCCGGGAGTGAACCAGCAGGTGCGTTCCTGGCTCCTGCTCTGGGCCTACCCCAGTCCTGGCCACTGTGGGCCCCGCGAGTGAACCAGCAGGTGGAGGCATTCGCACATGCTCGCTCTTTCTCTTTGCGACTCTGCCTTTGAATGAAGGAAGGAATGAATGATCTTAAAAAAAAAAAAAAGCATGGAGAAGGAAGAAAGCAAAAGAGCGCAAATCATGAGACAAAACCAGGACAATACTAGAAAAAAATACAACAGTCTTCATAAATACCAATAACATTAACAAGCCCTAATCATTGATTAAGAAAAAAGAGAAGCCACGAATTACCAAGGTCAACAGGAAAGAGGTGACATCAGTACAGATCCAGTAAACGTGCAGAGACCACAGGGCACCGTGCACAACACTGGGCCGCTCGGGAAGACAGACAGCCCACAACCAATAGGCCCTCCACTCACAGCCACCTTCTCTTTATCACACACCTGCACTCCAGGGGGCTTCCTCACTGGGGAACGCCACCATTTATCAAAATAAATGCATACAATCCACAACTCTACACAAACTGTTTCTTGAAAAAGAAGAAACATCCAACACACTATTGATAGCTACCCTAAAGACATTACAAATGCACATATGCAAAAGGATCCTAACCTTAGCAACCTTTAACTGAGCAATCAACAATGCGTTAACAGATTGAGCGATCCTGACCAGCAGGCTTTAGTACGCAGGGACACAGGTTGGGTCAACACTTCAAAGCAGTGAAGCTCACCGCTATCAAGAGACGGAGAAGCACAGGACACGCCGCCCCTCGGAAGGCGCAGGAAAAGCTCCTGCCAAGACCCCCTCCATTCACGGACGCCCGGCGGCCATCCAGGATGGAGGGAAGGTGATGCACCTGACACGGCTCCCACCACATGCTTCCCTTCGGACAGCGCACAGGGGAGGAGGCCCACCCTTGCCACTTCTACTCACACCGCCGTGGAAGTCCCGGTACTGTAACACAGGCGCTGGGAGAGCGCGCTGTCACCTGGGGTGACACGGGCGTCAGCACAGACAGGGGCTTTCAGAGCAGCTTCAGTCACGCACTAGGGCCCCAGGCAATACACAGCAAAGCCTACTTCTACATCCTAGGATTGGACTGAAATGCACTTTTCCAAACCCGTAAAATGCTCGAGGACGAGTCAGGGAGCCCGTGTGCGTGAGACGGCCCCTCGCTCTGCTCGCGGCTCCTCTACCGTCGGGCGCTGCCCTCACGCTCCACCTCCAATTCCAGCAAGACTGCTCAAGTTCTGACAGAAAAACATCAACTTCACTGCTCTCGCCAAGAACCACGCCCAGCGCCGGGCGACCTCCAGGATCACCACGACTTCACTCTCGGCTGCCTCTCAGAGACCTCACAGCCACAGCCTGAGCACCGGACACCAGTTTCCTGTCTTCTGGCTGTGCATCCTTTGTTTTTAAAGATTTATTTGAAAATCAGAGTTACAGAGAGGGAGGGAGACAGAGAGGTCTTCCAAGTGCTGGTTCACTCCCTAGATGGCCAGAGTGACGAGTACTACGCCCGGAGCCAGGAGCTCCATCCGAGCCCCCCGTGGGTGCGGGGGCCCAGGCACTGGGCATCCTCTGCTGCTCTCTCAGGCCACAGCAGGGGGCTGCACCGGAAGTGGAGCACCGGGGCACGAAGCAGCACCGCGGCGGAGGCTTCAGCCATCACACCGGCCCTACTGTGCGTTCTTACACGGCAGAGGCGGCAGGCCGCTCATCTCTGCACACGCGTCCTGCGCTCTACCCACAATCCTAAGGTGGGCAGCCACGGAGAACTGAGAGGATCAGGCTCGACCCTTGCAGAGCCCCCTCCACCCTTCCCAGAGGCACAGCGAGGCCTCGGCTCCTCAGGGCACGCTGAGTGTCACACACAGCCTGGCGCCAGGAGCGCAGGGCGAGGTGCACGCCTGGCGGGAGGGCTGCCACTGTCTGCTCACCGCTGGGTCCCCACACGGCCCCTCACCACTCGTCAAACTGGACACATCTCGCGGCTTTCTGCTCCTCCCGAGCATCCGGGGCCAGCAGGTGCCAGCTCCGGGTGGGCAGGCCCTGCAACTTCTACAAGAGGGGTGATGGGGCTGTGGCGGCTGTCACTGAAGACTGCACGCTGGCGGACCCTGGCATCGCCTGGCCGCTCTGGTACGTTCCCACTGCAGAGAGCACACGCTAAGCTGACCTGACTCAGCGTGTGCCTCGTGTGCTGACTGCGTCCTGCTTCATACTGTCAGAGACGCCAAAACTGAAGGCCCAGGAAAGGCCCCTGGCTAATCCCCTGGCGGTCCTGCTGTCCTGTGAGGAGGCGCTGGTGGTGATGTTACCGAGAGGGCATTTACAAGATGCCCAAACCCGGGGGGGCTCCAAGCCATGCGACAGCGGCCCTCCTCGTGTTTTTAAACACTGACCTGACAGCCAGTACCCTGGGAGGACCAGAGGACAACAGTTCTCCTGGTTGTCACTCTGCAGCCAGGAAAACTCCTCAGACAGTGGCTTCTACGCCCCCGAGCGCCACGCCGCCCGCCGCGCCGTGTGGCAGAGCTGGACGAAGGAACCGCTGCTGTTTCACCGGAGGACTGAACACTGACACCGAGAAACATGGGACACTGCCTTTGGTGAGCTGAAAACAACTGCACAGCAAGCACCAGGAGGCTCAACTTCCCAGGGTGCCGTGAGGAGCTCCCGCCAACGGACACGGGGCTGGGACGGTCCTCAGGGAGAGGGGACACGGAGGGGCAGAGGCACCACGCCAGCCTCTGAGCCTGGACATCTGTTTTAGGATTTCCCGCCAGCAGAGCTCACACCAGAGACAGCTCCGCAGGCAGCTGCACGTGCACTCCAGAGCTGCCCGGGCACAGGGCAGGGGGTGAGAGATGGAATCTAAAAAGTGGCCCGTGTTCATTAATGACAACTGCCAGGCTCCATGTGAGCGATGTTCAAGATTGTCCATGAGACGCAGTCTTGCGTGCTGTGCTGTGCCTGCCAATGCTGCCAGTCTAGCAACACCTCCCCACCCCATACATACAGTAAGGAGAACGTTACAGAAAGACTCCAACCTGAGCCCAGCTCCCCTCCTCATCCTCCTGAGGTTACGTGGTTAGGAATGCAAAAGAACAAAACTGTTAGTATCAGTGAGCGTCAGGAATGCAGGCGAATCACGGTGGGGAGGCGCGGTTCAGCTGAGTGAAAAAGCGCAGAACGTCAAAGCGTCATGCAAAACTCATGCAAAACGGCCAGTGCAACCTCTCATGCAAGGGGCACGCTCTTGCCATGCCAAGCACACCCAGGAAAGGGGCAGCGGGGCGAGACAGGCACCACGGGCGCGAAACCATGGTCTGTCCAAAGGCAGCGAGGAACTGAACCCCTCTGGAATCGAGCAATCTAACAGCATGAAGTTCCTCAAAAAAAGTAAAAGGAAATGCAAATCCTATTTTACACAGTTACTACAGACCTAAAGGAAATACTTATCCAAAACAACCGAAGGTGAAATGGTATTTCTGCTTTCAACAAAGAGGCAGAGCCCAGCCAGTCTGCAGTGGCAAGCACACTGGCAGGAGCATGAGCCGGGCGAGACTGACCGTTTGCGGCGTGGCTGCGAGTGTTTCCATCTCTTCGTGTGTTAACCAGACATTTCCTGTGGTCTAGGTGACCCCAGTGCACCAGCCACATCCAGGGCACAGGAAGCGAGACAGAGAGGAGAGGGCACACACATAAGCCACAGGCAGAGAGGGGCTCCTCTGCTCTGGACAGAGGAGGACCTGAGACCAAGCCCACCCCTTCCAAAGGACAGCCACGTCCTGCCACTCCGTGTCCTCAGCGGCTTGCCCTGCGGCACGTGAAACACAAGGAGGAGAAAACACGCTTTGTGCTCCTGAGAACTGCTCAGTAACGCCTGATTCAAGAGACTTGAGCTGTCTTACCCAAAGGTCAAGGACAAAGAATGCAGCAAGAAAACGCTGCTTGGCTATGGAGTGACACTCCAGGGCGAGGGGCACGTCGCTCGCCCAGACAACCCAAGCCCGAGGGGACGGAAGAGGCCAGGAGCAGGGCAGAGCCCAGGCAGCAGGAGCGTGCTGGGCACCGGCAGCGCGAAGCCCCCGGAGCCCAAGACCTGCGGCCTGGCCGCACGCAGTGTGCAGGGGCTGCCTCCCGGGAGGCCCTCCTCGTGATTCTTAACCTGGATGCCTGAGACGCCACCTTTATGGGAACGTTTGTGAGAACTTGGAAAACCACACAGCACCTTCGTCGGCACAAAGGCCACACCAAGGGCAGGTGGGAGCCTGTTCACGAAACCTCCACGCACATGGAGGTGCACGCTGCTTACTACCGTAACCCCTCACTAAGAGAAACACAACAACCAAAAAGCCACGACACTCCGCCGGTCAAGTGGCTGAGCCTCCGATGAGGCTGGGTCAGCCGCCCTGGGAGGACATCTCCTGCCGAGAGCTGTCTTCTCTCAGGGTGGACAGGGGGCCGGGCCTGGGGACCCCGGCAGCGTCTAACGCCCGAGTCAACAAAGGAGAGGCTGCCTCGCCCCTCTCCCAGCAGCCGTCCACGTTTCCATGCCCGGAGTCTCAGCTTTCCCTCTCGATGGCTTTCCAGGATCTGCCTGTAGACAAGCTGGCCCAGTCCAGACCCCTCGTGGGGAGCGCCTGCAGATCCAGAAACTGCTGGAATCCTGGGCTGCTGGCGGCCAAGCCCTGACGAGCCCAGCAGGCCAACAGGGACAAGCAGAGCTCATCGCTGCCTCCCTGAGTGTCCCGTCTCTCACGGGCTGTCCAGCGCGAGTGTGCTCACTGGGCAGCAGCCGCCTCTCAGCGGCCCGTCAGCGGCAGGAAACTGGACGTTTCCAAGGTGCAGCAAGAGCCAGCGCTCGGCCACAGACACAGACACGTGACTCCCCAGAGCCCTGCTCACACGGACAACGGGGAATCCACACGCAACGGGGAATCCACACGCAACGGGGCGATCCACACGCAACGGGGCGAATCCACACAGACAACGGGGAATCCACACGCAACGGGGAATCCACACGCAACGGGGCGAATCCACACACAACGGGGCGAATCCACACGGACAACGGGGCGAATCCACACGCAACGCTCCGAATGAAAGACTAAGCACTGCACCACGTCACGGCAAGGCTGCGGCACTGGGCGCACCTGCCAGGGAGCCCTGGCGCAGGCCCTTGGCTCCCCAGGCTGTTCGGACCCCACGACTCACTGAGGCGTGCGCCCTCCTCTGCGTGTGCTCACGTCACGCACAACGGCACGCACGCGGACACGTGCTCAGCGAGCCTCCCCACACGCAGCAAGGACTTCCCCACTTCTGCTACGGATCATGAGAAACGAAATTCAGAAAGTGTCGAGTTGTCCTTAGAACGTTATTCTTCCTCAAGAGGCCCTCGCACTGGTTCAATTCTGACTCGTATTTAAATCTGTCCCTTACCTTTCTGTCTTTGAAAATGAACTCCTATTTTTATATCATGCCATTCTTGCCAAGTTTCCTCGGATCATTCAATCCCACAGATTCTGAGTTCTGATAAATCCGAATTCTAGGACTGAATTACAACTCCACCAGGGTGTTTTCTAGCCGCACGGGGGTGTGACCTCCAGGCAGGTGCCCCTCCCCAGCACGCGCAGTTCCCCTGGGACGCACCGTTCTGGACGTGGGCGGGGCGGACGGGCTGGTGAGTGACATGATCTCCTGGATGGCCAGCCGCAGCTTCAGCCGGTGCAGCGGGTTGCTGATGCCGATCTCCCGCTGGATCTCCGTGTCAGACAGTGCTGACATGATGGCCCCGCTTTTCACGTTTGCTCGGCACGCAGCCACGTACCAGGCTGGCATCCCGACCCAGAGCTGGAGACGGGAAACAAGAGGGCCTAGATGAGCAGGAGTCTACCTAACGTCCCACCCTGACCCGCAGGAAGAGACGCACCTCCAGCCAGACCACCACCGTCGGCCCGTCCCACTGTGCAAACGGTAAACCCTGTCTCCGGGCTTCCTCGAGCAACTCATGCCTGCAGACAAGACGACACTCGGCATTAAGGAAGCGCCGTCACATGCATACACGGAACACGCCAACCCGAGCACCTCCCGAGCGCGTTCAAAATCCGCTTTATATTCATATTACTTCCTCTGTTGTTCTGTAGCTTCAACGCCAACCCCAGACACTGGATGTCAGTTTTGTACAAAAAAAAAAAAAAACACCAGTTCTCTACAGAATCATCAGCTCTTCACTTGAAAACACAGCAGTCGCCACGCCCAGGTAACACGTTCAAGGGAAAATCAGCATTTCACCCCTTATCAAACAATGAAAACATCTGAGGAGATGACACCCAGACTGGAACAAAGTAACTTTCTCTGGGAGCACTTAAAAAAAAAGTGTGCAGAGTTTTCTTTTTAACATTTATTTATTTATCCTGAAAGTCAGAGTTAGAGAGAGAGTTCTTCTATCCGCTGGTTCACTTTCCAGATGGCCTCAAGGGCCAGTGCTGGGTCAGGCAAAATCCAGGAGCCAGGAGCTTCATCCAGGTCTCCCACATGGGTGCAGGGGCCCAAGCACTGAGCCATCCTCTGCTGCTTCTTCCAGGCCACTAGTAGGGAATTGGATCAGAAGTGGAGCAGCCGGGACAGGAACCAGTGCCTACAGGGAGGGGATGCTGGCATGGCAGGTGGCAGCTTAACCCGGTACACCACAGCACCAGCCTCAACAGTGCAGAATTTCAACACTAAAAACGTTATGATCTAATACAGCAGGCAGGTAATAACCACCTGTTTCTATTGTAAATCGCTATTTAATTAAATGTCTGTTAAATTAAGTCACCAGGGAACCCTGCGGTTGAACCATGTGATAGGAAATTGAGGTCTGACACCGAACAATTCTCTCAGCAGAGAGTGCCACGCGTGCAAGGGCCAACTGTGCCAGGAGAGGGCCACGCGTGCAAGGGCCAACTGTGCCAGTCGGAAACGTGGCCAACTCAGGACTGCACCGTGTCCGCCTCCTGGAAGAAGATTCTGTCAAACACAGTTTGACTGCTTTACCGTAAGCCTGGTCAATCTCAGCTTTCTCTATGTGAAAGGAAAGACAGACAGACACAAAGACAGATCTGCTTCCTGCTGGTTCACTCCCCAAATGCCCACAACGGTTGGTGGTGGGCCAGGCTGAAGTCAGGAGTCTGAACACCCGGCGGGAAAAGACCCAAGCACTTGAGCCCTCACCCCTGCCTCTCACGTGTGCATTAGCAGGAGCCGGATCGGAACCAGAGCTGGGACTCACCCGGGTGAGCCAGCACGGGTGTGGGCCACTCGTCACTCAGTGACCTTGGGCACTCATCAATGCCCACCCCGGGTGAATCTCTTCTTCCTGTCCGAGCGTCCACCTCAAGGCTTGCACAGAGAGACCGCTCTCTGAAAGAACGCGCGGCGGGGCAGGGGCAGCCGGTCCACGGGCCTGACCTGTGCGGTCACCTGCTCACTCTACCTCACTCCCCGTCGGGCTTTCTACAGCAAGTTCTGTGGAGCTACAGAATCTGTCTGAGGACACACTTTCCTTAGACTGCGAAGTCCGCACTTCCCCGGGGCAGCCTTGGGGCCCAGGGAGCAGGAAATACGGGCATTGTCTAGTAGTGGACATCAAACACAGCAGACGGCCCAGTGTTTCAGGAGAGCATAAAATGTCCTAACTAACCTATGCTGAGCTGTTCATCACTTTTAAGAAAGCACCACAAAATCCAGGGCCCCCAAACTGTGATTCCCTGAGCAGCTCACCCGGGGCTGGACAGGGAGGGGAAGGCGGGCCGACCACCCCGCCCCGACCAGAACCGAGGAGTGCGGGCTGAATACCTCCTCCAGGAGACGCTGGCTCAGACGTCAGCTTTCTGGATTGGGAATATTTGTGCAGACTTTACCAGCTGAGCACCTTAAACTGAAGATCAAAATCTGCAAGGTTTCAGGGCCAGCGCTGAGGCGCAGCAGGTTAACGCCCTGGCCTGAAGCACCGGCATCCCATATGGGCACCGGTTCGAGACCCGGCTGCTCCACTTCCAATCCAGCTCTCTGCTGTGGCCTGGGAATGCAGCAGAAGATGGCCCAGATCCTTGGGCCCCTGCACCTGTGTGGGAGAACCAGAAGAAGCTTCTGGCTCCTGGCTTTGGATCGGCACAGCTCCAGCCACTGCGGCCAACTGGGGAGTACACCAGCAGACGGAAGAACTCTCTCTCTCAATAAATCAATCAAAAAATTTGAAACATTTCGAAATATGAAACTTAAAATTTCTTGTCAGCGCTTAAAATGTTTCAGATTTCAGAGCATTCTGGACTGGATCAGGACTGCTCCACCCACACACACAATTTCTCAGCAAGCCAGGCCCAGGGAAAGCCTGCACCCAGCTGGAGCGTCTGCGGCCCGGCTCCCGGGAGAGCTTCCGCATGGCACCAGCAGGCAGCAGTCCCAGGCCCTGAGAGGCACGCGGCCCGCAAGGAACCCGGTGCGGTCTTCTCGGCCTGCCTGCACCCTCCCTGGGCCGACGTCCGCTTTCACGCACAGCCTCCTCTCGTGGCCCAGGGTAGACGCTGCAGTGCCCGCGGTGCCAGGCCACAGGCCCAGGTCTCTGCGTGCCGGCTTCCTTCCTTTTGGGCAGGCTGTACCAGAATGAAACATGGTACCTGCCTGGCCTGGCAGCCCGAGCGGAGACATCAGAGCCAGAGCCTTCTCTGGGGAATGAATGGCTCCCAACCATGTGAGTCGAGAGTCCAGAGTCCAGAACTGGAGACGCCGGCCCAGCTCCGCACTGCCCTGTGCTTGTCAGAACAGATTTTTTCCTTGCTCCTGAGAGTGCCCTAATACAGTCAATTCTGCATCTGGGACTTGCACAAACTAAACGGCCACAGAGAATTCACCCACTTCCCCAACTGGGCACACTCACCCATCCACTCCTGTGATCACTTTCTAATAACAGATCCTTCCACGCCTACTTTAGTACAACTATGAAAATGGATTCGATAAGCATTTGGCTCCTGGCGATGTCTAACTACAGGAGAACAAGGTGTTCTATTACTGGAGACAGGACCTCTGCTGGCCATTAGCTCCAAAGCTCAGAACACAGCGCCAGAGGTGGCAGGCCACACCCCCATGTCACGTGTTTCTCCAGGCCCTGAGTCTGCTGTGAGCAGCCCCACACCATGCGCTGAAGACTACCGCAAGGGGCGGGGCAGGGGGTGCACCCGCAGTCTCACCACCACTTCCGCCTTCCTCTGACTGCACTGCTGCCCTTTGCCCCCAGGAGGTGGGCCTCGTGGGCTCTGGCCCTCTGTGGGGCCTGGCTGCGCAGCTCTGGGCCACTCCAGTGGGCACTGCTGTTTCTCTGGGACAGGGGTAGGAACATCTGGCCTGTGGGCCATGTAAGGCCCGTGAACTCACTTGGTGTGGCCCTGCCAAGGCAACCGCAGGTGGAATTCAAGATTCTATGAATTGATAGTAGGTTAATTTTTAAGTTGATAATTCTGTATTGCCCATGAATAGTGTTGCAAATATCCAAGTGTGCTGTGGCCTGGGAAAGCAATGGAAGACGGTAAGTGCTTGGGCCCTGCCCCAGAAGAAGCTCCTGGCATCAGACTGGTGCACTCTGGCCATTGCAGCCATCTGGGAAGTGAAGCAGCAGATGGGAAGGCCCTTCTCTCTCCTCTTCCAACTTTGGCCTTTTTCAAATTAAATAAATTAAAACCTTTAGAAAAAAGGAAAGAAAGAAAGGCAAGCCAGG